CCGCTGGGGGAAGGCTTGGGGGAGTCTGAGAGGAGGTGAATGTAGGAAGGGGAGACAGCTGCTTGCAGAGGTGTGTGGTACGGCACGGATCCTGGTGCTGTGGGATGCAAAAAAGGTTGCTGCTGCTGGCAAATTGACCCAAAGGGAGCAGGAGGAAGATGGAGGCTGGGATGGAGAGGAAGGAGGATGCTAAGTGAATACAGTATCTATGTAGTCACAACAATAGGCACAGTGAAAGCAGCTCTCTCTAGTCTCACCTGGTCTTTAGTGAGCTATCTGGAGGTACGCCAGCATGCACTGAAGTGGAGAGAAACTAAGAACACAAACAAGATGTCAGGAAAAGAAATGCCATTTACTCACCACGCTCATGTAATGGAGCATTCGGCCATCCACCTTTCCTTCGTCAAACTGGGTCTTATACTGGGGGAGGCCAATATCATCCAGCCACCCTGCGGCAGAGACAGACACTCATGTTAGCATGGTAGCCAAGTTAGCTAGCACCACTTAGTGTTATTCTCACTCTTTGAGCCCCAAATTAGCCATGATTAGGAACCCCTATCAAAAATTGCTGCTTCAGCATGCAATAAAATCTTACTGGTAACCCAGTGGTAATCCAGTTTTCCATGATTGTTTTCCTCTTCAGACCCAAGTGCCTGCAGAGCAAGCTGAAGCTTCTTCCGATGCAGTGGGTGCTTTATCCCAAGCTCCTGTGAAAGGAAGGAAAGCAGCAAACCTAGAGACAATGCTGTATTTTATTTCTCCCTCTGCTGAATCACAAATGGTTTCAGAGGGTCACACATTTGCTGGTGACTTGACAGGTCTATTTTCTATTTGCTGAATATCAGCATCATTTCAGCACATGTTCAGCACTAGAGAAAGGCCCACTCACTGTAGTGGATTAATTTCAAAACGTGGTGGATTCCAAACTGTATGAAAATGTCAGCCACAATATTCTCATACCAGGTTAAGACAACCCACAATATAAAACATATTAGCATTCAGAAAAATACTTGATGGGATTAATTCCTTCCCTCCCACATGGGCAGGCAAGGTTAAAAGAATTATTTAGCTAAGAGCACATGAAGGTCCCAGGAATTACCGAAATTTATTAATACCTCCAAATGCATAACACCTTCCCCAGTTTAGTTGCAAGCGCAGCCATTCCACGATCTCATCAATCCCATATACACTTTCATCAGTGCTTGCTAGTTAATGTTACCTCTGATAACATTATTACAAACCACTATGTCCATATCACACTTTCCTTATTCAGTTGTAGTATAACTACAACTTTGAATTAGCTCACTCCCTCATTGAGAAAACAGGGTTACTACTTGGTGAGGATAGTGATTTTTAAAAGCTGAAAATTCAAATGTTAGCAAATACTGTGGATTCAAAGTATAGACTGAATCAACTTTTTTAATGTTTCCAGTTTTAGAAAACAAGATGTGAACAATTCTGTAACGATTTAAGACAAAGAAACTGATCACCCTTGTGTGTAACAAATCCTCATTCCTCTGTGTAAAATGTGAAGAAAATATAGTCAGACCAAACCAGCAGCTTTTCACACCTTTCTCACACAGGCATAAAATAACAGTACCATACACAAGTGCTAATGAATCTACAAACCCGTATCATAATGAGGCACTCTTGTGTGCATATTTTTACAGTGGCATAGCTGATTGATATGTCCATGCTTAACGAAGTTAAATCACATATTTGTAATTATTAGTTTCATTACAGACCATTACATTTCTATGAAACTTCAACTAAAAAGAAACAGGTTTGGCATCACTGCAGATGACAAAATTTTTAAAATTAATCTTTTTTTTTTTTTTTTTTTTACTGGATGCACCTTACGGACATGATTTATGTGCACAGAAATAGCAATTTTTTGTACGTTTAATTGAAAGCAGTGTTTACAGTATTTCTCACCTTTTCCAGATCCTGCTGAGAAGCCTGCAGAAGCGTTTGCCCAGACAGTATCCAGTGTTTGCCATTACTAATGTAAGAGCCTAGCCCTTGGTCCTGGAGCCAGTTGCAAACCTGCTCTTTCGTCCACTTTGCGAATGGCATGTCCAGCTCACTACAGAAGATTTTACAAAAAAACCCCTGATAAATCCCATGCTGCAAATCTCCTATTCTCATACATAATGATAAAACCAAAACCTAAGCCTAATTCATGAGTATTTTGTGGGAGTTGGGTCAATCTCCATGGGATAACATGTATTCACGGCTGGCTGTTAGGTGAGCCCCCTGAGGCAGAGGGTGTCTACTTCTGAACTGTCAGCACCACGAAGCACTGATCACTGCTGATCTCCTGCCACTATCACGTCTCTACTTCTGAACTGTCAGCACCACGAAGCACTGATCACTGCTGATCTCCTGCCACTATCACAATAAACATGGTCTATTAATACCACTGAAAGAACCACCTCTGCTGCTAGGGTGGCTAAAATTCTGAAGTAAGACCATAATGTTTTACTTTAGCCTTTAACCCTCAGAAGTGCAGCAGGAAACGTACTAGAGGAATATCTGTCATTGCCACGTGAAGGCTCACACCCCGCTTTGCAGGGCCTCAACAGCTGCACTCCTGCCCAGCTGTGAACAGGGAAAGTTCCATTCACAGCAGGACCCCACCACCCAACCAACCTCAATCCCGCAAAGACTATCTCTCAAAGGAGGAAACGGCCTGGATCCGCCTGCTTCCATTTGCCAGGAGGGGCGACATTTCATTTTGGCACTGCGCTTCTCTCTTTGGAACCTGTGCTCGACTGGAGCTGCTGGGAAGGCAAGCACCAGCACACTTAGCACCACTCGTCTTACTTGTGAGACTGCCCCAGGTCTCGAGACCAGCCCAGTCGTGGCCCTGCCGTTGCTCTTGTCCCTCCTCTTTTGAACTCCGTCTCGGACATGTCATCTGGGTTGAAGGTAGTAGACTGACTTCTCTTAAGTCTAGTTTAAAGGAAGAAAGCATATTCACATTTAGCTAATGAAAAGTCATACTTCTACTACCACAACCACTGTAAGTAAGATCTTCTGCAGGGTTTGTAGCTCTTCCTCCACCCCCCACTGACCTGCTGTTAGCTCCCTCAAATGCCAGACTGGCTCCTGCTCTTGAGACAGTAAACGATGGAGCCACAGGTCTGAGGGGGAAAAAGGGAAGATGTGTTCCCAGCAAACGCCTGTGCAAGCCCCAGCTGTGGAGAACAGTCATTTCTCATCTTTTACTTACTTTCCAAATAACTTCTTGATCCCTCTGGCCTTTTTCTTGGAATCTGGAGAAGGTGGAGTCATCTGTAGACTATCCGTTTCTTTTGGGCGAGGGGGCAAGCCAGCCAGATCCAAGTGATCTGCAGATCCCTTCTCCGTTTCAGCTATTAGAAAACAAAAGCCCCATCAAGACTCACTTGCGCAGGACTGTACAGACACCCTCCTGAACTCAGGAATGACTCTTGCTAAAATTATTGAGAGCTTCATGTTAAGAAAATGGGGCAAAGAGGAATGGGAAAATCCAGGGGAAACAACACGTGTTCCTCCTTCATGGGCCTGACTGGGAACACTCTAAGGCAATGCTCTGCACCAGTTAAGCGCCTTGCATCCACGGTGGGCAGAAAACCCCCTCGTGAATCAATCAGTGAATTAAATCCCAAGTTTACTCTTCCTTGAGGAGTGCTCCTACAGTCCTTTCACAGACAGAGCTGAGGCACATGGATGCCCAGGAACAATTCAGTGCCATGGCAGGACACTGAACCAGGAGTCCCCAAAGCACAGAAAAATAAATAATTTCCCTGCAGGCATCCTTCCTAACAACTTGCAGTATCCCATAAGTTCCCCATCCAGGAAATTCCAGCAACAAACAACTCCTCCTGCCCCAGGAGCAAGAGGGCCCTTTTCCCCTCACTTCTGCAAATTGTGGAATATTTTGTTCCTCTGCAGAGAAACACCGGGAAGTTTAGGCTCTGTCTGAACTAGATCTTCTCTTTCAAGGGATGCACAGAACATCTCTGAGAGACCCTACACATTACCACCCACTCTCAAGGCATTACATCTTCGATCTGTAGCTGTTGTTTTCTACGACAACAAACCTGAGGGCTCCTGTCCCCAAAAGGGAAACTGTCACAAGATTGTTTAGTAAAAGCTAAACTAACAAAGAGAAGAACTATTTTAAGATCATTTAAAAAGAAAACTAAAAGAATTGCAGTATCTACTAGGCTACGTAAGCAGAGATGTGCCAGCAAGTGCCAGATAGCTGAATAAAACCACCACGTGGAGTTTATGCCACTTACTTGCTGAGGAACAGTGACAGCACGAGCCTGTTCAGATGAAGCAGCCACGGCAAGGCAGCCTGCAGCAGGCTGACAGTCAGGCCTGTAACCACTTTTACTATCTTTTTACATGGCTGTGTAATCAGGTGACCATCATTTGTTTTTGAAATGGACTCTCAGACTCCCAAGAGAAAGCCAAACAAGTTACATGAATCAAGGTAGAGCATATATTGCTGGGACATGTGGTCTAAAGGCCACAGAGTTAATGCTGAGGAGACCACAATGTGTCACAAACAGCAACAAACTGCAGGCTTTGCCAGCATATCTTTCTGCTGGGCAAAGCTTAGATGATTCAGCCAGAATACATTTGAATACGTCCCATTTTCCACCCATGCTTTAGATGTTAAACCTTGTAGTGAAGCAACAAGGTCACATAAAAGATTATTTCCGGGCACTTTGTTTGACCACTATCAAATACAGGGATCCTGCCAGTGAGAGACAGCACTAACGTCGAACCAGGCTTTTGCATTTGTGGTTTTTGCTTTACTTGTGTAAGAAAAAGTACTAGCTTAGAAAAATCCACATTTAAACAGCATTCTAGAGAGAGAATACCAGGACAAGGTTGGGTGCATTAGTAGCAGAGATTTGCGGGTATTGCAACGTTTGCTCCATGTACCTCTCTCCCTTTCATGCACTGACACAACCCTGCAGAACAGCTGACGTCTAAGGGGCCACATGGGAAACTGAGAGGGCCCAGAGCCCCGTCTCTTCATCAACGAGGGGCACACCGGGTGGCTGTACAACCCCCCGACTGACAGAGCTCTGCTTCGTAAGGCAGAAGCCTGCAGGTCTTACCTGCCCTTGCCAGAACCACCCAGGGAACGCTCACATCACAAGACTGGTTTTTGCTACATGAATGCCGCCATCCCTATCTGCCCCAATTATTTCTCATTCATTTATTATATAATAAATATAACTACATCTTAGAAAAGGCATTACATATCCTTCCCCCAAGAACGCTTGGGAAATATACCTTGTTCCCAGCTTCACCACCCTTTAAGCTCTTCCAGGGGCTCCAGGACAGACGACAACACAAAGGTGCCTCCGGTATTTCAACATCACCAATTCTCATCTGCTACCTCGGTCTGTGGGTAACTTTAAGCTCAAAGTTACGGCAAAGGTCTCTGCAAATTAACCCGCAATCTCTCTCATTAGTAGCAGTTACTGAGAAATGGCGCAGCTGACTTCTAGCAGAGGGCAAATGTTACGTGAAAACTCCTTTTAGTGATGGACAAAAGTTTTGATGCGGAGCTCTGGTGTCTAGTTCTTGTTTGAAAAGTGTGTGGCCATAACCAGCTGTTAGCAGCAGTCACAACACAGAGCTGGTACAGGCAGACATGCAGGATTACTGTACCTAAAGTAGGTGCACTTGCACTTCGACTGCGATCTTCAGATATCCAAACAACGCACATAACCACACGCAGCACAACGGGAGAGAACACGCAGAGGGACAAGGTAAAACACAGTTCAAAACTTACGTCAGCAAAATACAAGACAAAAGGAGGGAGGTACATGAGACACATGCGCCACACACAATGCTGAATTCACACAGAGATTAGGATTACCAATTCACTGTTAAGCCCCCCTCACAAAAAAGAAATGTGGTAGAGCTCTATGGTGGAGAGGGTAAAACAGCACTGCAGTCACTTCGGTGCAGGGAGGTCACTTGCTCCATGATACATTGGGCAGGTGACTCACGCAGGCTCCCATGAGGTGGCAAGTATCTGGACACCAGCTTTACAAATGGAAGCACTGAAATCTGGATAACATAAATAACTTACTCAAATTCACAGGACCCTGATCTAGATGGTCCATCTTCCAATCCTTTATGACAGCCGCAAGTACTCCACTTTGTTAGACAAATTAATTTCAGGATGAAACAAGTGATTACACAAAAGCACACAAGAAATAAACTGAAGCAATAGACTGTACATCTATTCCAAGTAAGCTAGCAAGTTCCCATGCTATATGTCACAGGCAAATATGGGCAATGTGTAATAAATGTGTAGGTAAGTTATTTCTTTTGAACAAAAGTCTGATATTGTCTTTGAGTAAGTAAGAACAGGAGACTCTTCTGCTCAACAAAGCAGAAGCTATCTATCTCCCTTCAGGCTTCTGAAAAAGACAGAGCTAAATTCCTAAATCTCATGCAAGAGAAAGCCAAAAACTCTAGACAAATGGCAGTAGATCTGATGCGCAGACTCACTTGATGCTTGAACTGGAACAGTGGGAAGACTACTATAGCACAGCAGTGAATGCAAGTAGGATTTCAGTTGGCGGCAACAGCCACTTCTGCATTAAGCAGAATATTTTGTTTATTTCTTTGTCATGTGCACATCATCAAATGACAGTATCAAAACACATCCCCCCATTACAGGTCCAAAATTTAACATGAGCTTGAGTAACTTGTCAATCCTGTTCCTGTTGTCACCAATTCTTTTGCAAGGCTGCTTAAATAGACGTAAAATAAAGAGGAAGACTGAATGGTGCTGCCTCATTTCTGTACATCTGAAAATCTTATGAAAAATAAACTGAGGATGGAGCCAGGGGAAACAAAAAGCCCACAAATCCCATGTGTGAACTACTGCCAGACAGCTAGCATTTCAAAACAGCAGCAATCCACTATAAGATCCCAGGGGAGATATCACAGCAGAGGTTGAAACAGATCAAATACTTCATTATATCAGTGAGGTTTTTTTTCCTGGGGTTTTTTTTGTTGCTGTTTGGTATCTTCCAAACATTCTACTGAGAAAAGAGCCACCAAGTCACAGTGAGACTAAGGCTGGCCTTCCTGCTTCTTAAGACAGTTACAGCTGTTGTTAAGACCCTTCAAAATACACAGAATCTGCATGCAGGTGCACGATACCTACCCAGATTGGGGGCACTCGCGGTCCTCTTGTTATTTTTTATCTTGAAAAAGCCTCGTCCAAACGAAGATCTGGCTTTACGGGTACCAAAACTATCTTCGTCGCCTGTGCCACCATGAGAAGGAGACTTTGGAGGGAGGGTTGCAAAATTATTACCTTCCACAGGAGGTTTAACCTGCTCGAGTTAGGGAAATAAAGATTCAATATCAGGGAATTGCAAAAGGCCTTTTGAGAGAGACTGCAAAGTGACTGCGGAAAGATAACCTGGACAGTCCCTCTACAAGAAAACAGAATGTAAAAGCCATAAAGGAAAACATAAACAAGATCTTCATTTGAATATGTTCAGGACCCAGGATTACTATCACTACTTTCTAAGAGTAACATGTCTTCTTTAAGGTGTTTCCCAGTTTCTGCAAGGCTGGCTTACATGTATGGAAAAGGTAAAAATACAGTCCTGGAAGGCTTTGAACTCCTCCAGCTTTCCAGGGCTTCTGTCTCCCCCACTGGTAGCTGTAGGGGCAGTGGGAAGCAAAGAGAGAGACGAGACCCCCATGGCGTATCAGGTCTCTGCCAAGTGTCAGACAGCTCTTTTTGTATATCACTGCTCTGCAATTTCAGAATTAATGGATTAATTGACTATGTCCACTGCCAAAGCTGAGAGGAAACTAAGTATCAAGCAAGGAATATAAATGCCAGGACAGACATCAGACACACCAGTTAACCAATTTAAAGCAGCAGTTTTAACCTTGCCGGTTGTTTCACTGTCTCTTTAAAAGAAGGAGGCAAACCCATTCACAATCCAAATGGGATCCTTTGGCTTTTGCTGAATCGATACAGCATTCACCCTACAAGTGGTACCTGAGGTATGTCATCTCTGCTCAGGTCTTCCTCCAGGTAATAATAGTCGCATGCAAACTATGGCCATATGGTACCGCCAAAAGTTTTTAAAGTGACACTAATCAAAGGTAATTACAGAGTCAGTAAAATACTTAATGATTAGCTTTGCTAATTATCTAGTGGTAGAATACGTAGGGGAAGCGTTAGCTTAGATGGCAACCTTATGCTCAACCAGACTGAAAGCTAATCTATGTGTGAGAAGACAAGAACGTGCGAGACACTATAAGCCTGACGCTGAAGTGATGGTGACAACCATCATATACTCCTCGCTATCTTGTCTGCAGGTCTGCTACTCCCCCTCTGGAACTGCATGCTGCAATTTCACACAACTGAGCCTTTCAACACCCGCTCACTGTCTGTGTTTCTCCATGTACACGCACGAGCACGCACACACACGTTACCTCTGTTGGCTTCTGTGCGGAGTCTCTGTCCTGTTTGGGAAAGATTAAGACAGACATTTAAAAAGTCATGTTTTACAGCCAGTATTCAATACATTATGGTTACCCTGAGTTAAATTCTGACTGAAATAGCCTTCTCTGCCTATCTTTTTTCGCCCCAAATAAATCTCTTCAGAGCTGCATTTCGCACAGATTAATTCTTGCTTTCTTTGAGGTCAGTGAGCTGACATGAAAATATGGTTGCTTCGGTTTACTTTGTAAAGGATTAGCTGTGTACATAATTAGTAACATGCGGTCTCTTAAGGCACTAATGGGCACAGCTGACTGAGGGGACCCAAAGCAGGAACCAGACAGTGTAGAAGCCAAGTACATAAAATATCCACAGCCTCCACTCCTTGGCTGTCCAAACAAACCAAAAAACCCCTTAACCCATGAACTCTAGCTCTCATCATCAAGTTCTGGTTACAGTTTCAGTCCTGTCAACATCCCTCCTGAGCTGTAAGCCACAGCTCAGTGGCTTGGGTATCAGGGAACTCAGGAGCTTTTAGGAGTTCAGACTGCCAAAAAAGAGCAAAGGAATTACCGCAATTTGATGACATTGTTAGAGGCTAGCTGCTTTTGGTCACTTCAAAAGAGACCTGAACTGAAGCTATCACCAGGTATATAAAGCCTCAGTATTTTCTTCCCAACCATCTAAAATATACAGTCACCCTAGACTGTATTTTATAATGCATTGATTACATGGCTTCCAAAACTATTCACCTTAACCACAGGTAGGAAGTGGTAGCGGGACTTACTTTCTTCTTGTCTTAAATCAGAAAAGCATATCAACTAAAAAAAAAAAACCTCACTATCTGAGGAAAAGCACAGCAAGAGAGCCTCAGGTAAATGCCTCATTCAAAAAAAAAAAGCACCTGCGTTTTCAAGGACAGATTTTCTCCTTTAATAAAATCTGGAAGATGTCACATGTACATTACCATTGCTAACACATGACATGAGCAGCCCTACTCTGACTCAGAATTTCTCAGAAGGCGGCAACAGAGCGTCCACGGGGTCACTGCCACAACAGAGACATCACACCTATTTCTAAGGGGACGGGAGGAAGTAAGAGACCAAACCAACCACTTCAGATGTCTCTTTTCTCAAACTGCTCAGACTGCTGGACTTCTGCAGAGAAGTAGTTCTGAAACAACAACATAAAAACCAAGCCAAGTTACTGGCATTAAACTGGCTAAGAGAAACACACTCTCAGGACTCACCTTTTAAGAAAGCATTATAATACATGATGAGATATACTAAAAACAAAGACATTTTTAATTAAGGCAATCAATGCGCTAATCAGAGCCCATGCAATTTGAAGAGATACTGTAAGAACCTCCACATGGTACTTACTGCTGCTCATGCTTCAGTGACATGATGCCTACCTTTGGCTATTTTTGGCTTCTTATTTAATGTTATGTTTTCAGAAGCACAAGCAGAAGTTACACAGGCAAAGCAAGTCATATAAACAAGAGCTATGAAAAACAGTATTTTTAGCAACAGGCTTCTGACTAATTCAATCCTTAAAGAAGCCAAGCACGTGTGTTTTCGTATTTTATCTTCAGTTCCATTTTGCATTTCAGACCAGATATCCCCCACCTTCTGGTGGGATTTACAGTCTAGAACACCTAAGTCTGGTTGAAAAGAAAGTTACCATTACAGTTTTTCCTGCGACCAGGTATAAATTAGGAGTAGCTTCACTGAATTTTGCAAAGTTACCTATCTTTATACCAACATAAGGGGAGTAGAATTTAGCTTTGGGAAGATTCTCGTGGCACTGACTACGTCACTCGAAATAAAAACAGCTGCTGAGCCTCACACTGTGTACCAGACAAACCCTGTTGACTTAGGCTCCTTACTAACAAATCGCTTTGACTCAGCTTCGAGTTCATAAACAGTCCCACTGATTTCCCTAGGGAATATGGCTATGTGGCAGAAATTAAAATTATTTTCTCATTGCAGTCAGCTGATCACCTTTCCCCCACTATCAAAAGAAAAATCATGTGTGCAGGTACTATGGAAAACTGTAAATTTCAAAGTATATTGACAGTCTACAACCCAATTGGAGATGCTTCACAACGTAAAAGAAATTAACTGCACATGTGCACAGCTGAAGCATGGAAAATAATGATCACGAAAACATAGAACATGAGCAGAAAACTACCACCACTAAATATCATCTTGGCTAGAATTAGTTTACATATTTACATGTGTATGTAAAACATGGGGCGTGCGTTGGGGGGGGGGGGGGTTTCAAGTCAAGAATCACATATAAATATGTTTCCTAAACATTTTTGTTTATGATACTTACACTGGACTATCACACAGCTGAGTTTCTGGGCAGGAACCTGTTGACCTTCCTTCACTGTAAAAACAAAAAAGATATGAAAAAAGTAAGGCATTTGGGGATCCCATCCAAATACCTTGCTGATACAGAAATCCTGTCATCTCAGCCTGCTTTAATCCTGTTTTCACTTCAGCCATTATGGTACTAACACTTAGCAAATTTTCCTCTGTACAGTGGCAAGTCTCGTAAAAGATGAAGGACAAAGGTGAGCTCAAGAGCCCCAGAACAGACAACTTGCACTGTAAGTTGATGACAATACGGCACTATTCAGCTTAAATAAAAGCAGAGGTTACAGCATGTGCAGGGTTTGCAGCAGTACCCAGTAGTGGAGGTCACTGGCTCCCTGTGAGTCACCCACAGTGTGGGGCATTTTGCTGCAGGTTAGTGCTTGCTTTGTTTTTTTCCAAGATGGGACACAGATGAAATCCCTGCTGGTGATGGCTAGAGCTGCATAAGGCACAGCACAACAGAAGCCAAGCAAAGCTGGTCTTCTGGATAGGATGCCTTCCTTGACTGGAACTGGAAACATCACATATCAACTTGTGCTTGCACTGATTTTTCACATCGATATCGACAGTTTTAAGCCAACAAGATTTCCCTGCCTCTAGATTCTTAGTATTTGATACTCATTTAGATAAAAGCCAGCGATTTGGACTCAGAAGAAAAAACCCTAGCACAGCCTTTGTCTAGCTGTGAGTCCGGTGTGCTTTTCAGTACTCCCTGCAGTACCGGTCCAGATCTGCAGGGGCCGGGTTTCCTCACCCGGGCAAGGAGGGTGCAGGCTTAGAAACGCTGGAGGAAGCGGACAGCCACTTCTCACCCACTGGGTTCAAGCACGGGGGCCCCTGGGTGCCACGGCTCAGCCACAGCCCTGGGCTGCAGCCATGCATCCCCACCCCGGCTTCCCTGAGATGCTGTGCCTACACATTTTGTCCAGCTTTCAAAATCTCAGGCAGGGGTCTCATAAGAGCGAGCAAAGAAATATCTTTGCATTTCATCATGCCAAAGGGCGGCAGCAAGGATATCTCTTTCTCTGATCTTTTGAAACACTGCTTGGATTTCCTTCTGGAGCTCCACTAACAACAGCGCAAGGTTCGAGCCGGACAGTCCTTTTGTTGCAGTTTTGGCAGTGCCCTACACCAATCTTTAGCAACTGTGGAAAATGTCTGAATGCAAATCATCAGGAATGCATTTGTGCTAGCACAGCCAACACTATCTCAGCCAGACCTAGATAAGAATAATGATTCTGTGTCCTTCATTACATTCTGTTTATTACTTGCAAGGCAGCTGATATAGAGTATGAGTGCTGCTACAAGCAACAGCAACCAAACTAATGCTTACTGGAAAAGATTCAATCAATGCACTTCACAAAACGTAAGCTTAGTTTGCTATAGCTAGTCAAGTGAATGCTAGCCTTGTTTAGCTGACTTAATGACTTGACAGTACAGTAACTGGCAGGTTATTACTCTCATTAAATGTCACAAAATACTGGATTTACAATTGAAAAATACATGGAAACAATAATACCTCATTTCACTTGCAGGATCTGGCCTAGGCTGTGTTTTCACTTTCTCTGCAACAGTTTCTGAGCTTTTGGATGTGGATGAAAAAGAAGGGATTGAAATCTGTAAAATACTGGTGTGGATCTGTAAGGAATTCTAAAAAGAATGAAGAATACATGTTACACTGTTTTGAGCTGAAATTAAGCAGTCATAAATGAAAAAAGAGTAACAGATAAACTATGAAAAGAAGGATCTGAAATAAGATTTTTAAAAGCGATTTCTTTCTATTTTAATACAATGATTTACTACTTGAAAGATGGCACTGAAGATAAAACATGAATCACCGCACAGATAAGCTACAGCATAGACAAAAATCTCACAAGTCTCCCAAAGCTGCCTGCTAAATCTATCTCTACCACAGACCCCATGAAGGGTTTTCAGGTTTACTCTTGTCCTCAGCCACTCAGAGAATACCAAAAAACTGCTAAACTTTTAATTTAATTCAGCTTTCTTCACAGTGTGTTCATGCTGTTTAGTTAAGTCAAGTCCCTGACTCAGAGCTTTAAGAGAAGAGATCTATAGTTTTATTACTGGAAAACGTGATTGTAAAAATCAGAGGTTGGACCACAACCTACTTATCATTTAACTGAATGGATGTAATGATGATTACATCTTTTTAAATATGAAAGGATATATTAAGTAAGTCCCATCATGTTTACTTCAAGTTCCTGACAAATTAAATGCAGCTTCTAAAACAGCTGTTTGATATGAAAAGTAATTTCTATGTTTGATAGGAAAAGTAGTTTAGACCCATTCTCATGACAAATATAGCTATTTGCTGTCTCCTGATCCCATTTGATGATTAAGAAAAATAAATTTAACTGAACTCAAATGAAACGCCTCAGCAGCTTTCACAAGAAAACTACATTCTCCAAAAGGATATAGGACGTTACTAAAAACTGTGCAACCCAGGAAAAAAAATCTTTTCAGAAACTTTAGTTTTGGCATCTGCAATATGAATCCACTACAAGCAATGTTTTCAAGGAGTGACAGCATTAAATGAGGAAGAAGAAAAATATACCTCTTCATGAATATTCAGGTTAAACTCATCGTGGATTGGAGATGCTGTTACTGGGGTTGGGGATGGGCTTTTCTCTGGGTCAGTCAGACTTGGTGTGTCCAATAAAACCGTGGAAACAGACCCTGAATTCAAGAAGTCTTCACCATCACTTTCCTTCCCTGAAGGGAGAGAAGACGGAAACTTGTTGGCTTTACTTCTGGATACATGATGACCCTCGCTCCCACGCAAGGCACAGCCAGTGTGCTCATTTATGGGCCAAAAAGGGAAGAAGCTAGGATTAATTTTTTTTTTAGGACAGACTACAATAGGAGAAGGAGAGTCATTGCCAAATGTGGCTTCCCAATTCAACCACCACAACATAGCAAGGTTGGGGCAGGGGGAGGACATACATCGGACAGCAAAAAGCCCCGCAAATGCCCTCAGGGTATTTAGTGGGATCAGTTTCAACAAGCTGAATAAACTGGAGTAGTTATTTCCTGTCCCGTGTTCTGGAATTTCATATTAAATACTTCTTTTCCCTTATTCACTAGGGAAAGACCAGGGGGTCAAGCCTGCCTGAAACTTAAGATATGTCTATGGTATCTTCAAGTTACCCATAGGAAAAATACAGCCCACTGCACAAGAGTCTAACACCAGCTTTTAAGTGACTACATTATGTATGCAGACTGCCATAAACTGAGTGTGTCTCATTTAGTTAATGCCGTAGCCCGCACCAGCATCTGTTATCCTCTGCTCCCAACAAGTGACTTACTGCTCCTGAACTGCCTCAGTACTATCAAAAGGCTTGGATTTCCACACTTGTTATTGATACCAGAGTACTGACACTGACAAGAAAAAGTTAAACACAATCAATACTTTCTAAAAAGTGAGCAGAAACCTAGCACTCATTGCTAAAGATCTGATGCAAATACAAACCAAAGTCTGTTTACAGCAAAACCCTCTCTTGCCCATTTTTCACTGCCTGAAATCTCTGTCCATGCTCCATGAGTTGACCATAAAGCACAGTTCCCAGAGACTCTAGGTCTGTTTTAACATCCTCCTGTCTTTGAAGGCATAGCACTGCATGAAAGAGCAATACCTATTAAAAAAATGCTACTTCCCTTCTCCAACACTCAGCATGGTTTTGCCCTCATCACCACCTTTCCTCTTCCCTCACTGACAATGTGCTTTCCCAGCCTTGCAGATCGAAGACATGCAGCTGTGTCCTTAGTGCACCTCAGTGGTTCTGAGGATGAAAAAGCCCTTACATACCAAGATCCAAAGCCCACAGACAGTTTTTAGCCCAGCATGTTCTGCTGCACGCCAGCTCCCAACTAGGCTTACATCCACGATGCCAGACTAAAGGACGCTGCTTCCTGAACCCACTGCAGCACCCACCTCAGGGCTGCCGTGCTTGTGGGTGAGCAGGACAGGCAGCTGGAAACCATGGTCAAGGGCTTTCACGCAGCCCTGCAAATCAGCTGGCACCCTCAGGAGGGGATGTCAGAACCTCCTTGCTGCAATCACTGCCTCCCTGCAGGGATGGCCTCTCAAAAGCCAGGCAGAAGCAAGAGAGGCACCAGGAACCTCTCTTTTCCCCAGGTCTTAGCCCCAGTCTCGGCAGCATGTCCAGATGGGGCTCTGCCCTCCACTTTTCCTGCCTTGGCCAAAGACAGCTGACCCAAGAGCCACATGTGAATCCACCACCACAAAAACACATATTTTGCCTCCTCACTCATTTCTGTCTATTGACAATCTTCACTCTTTGAAAGGATCCCTAGGGGTTCCTACATCCCTCTCCTAGGAACTTCATTCACCCCCAACATTTGTGTGGCCAACAAAAGCCACAAGCCCTTGTCTGTCCTAAAGAAGCTCAGGCAATGAGCTCGGGACAACTTAAGGTCTGTAGAAGGCTGGGTTGGCCTTCTCTGGCCTTTAGGGGACTCAATGACAAAGGAGGTTTCCATAAGGCAGTGATACAACACTGGGGCACACAGACTTTTAAGTTGCGCATACACGATACATGTATGATTCTACACATTATCAGAATGCTAATGTGTAAAATTTGTTTGGGACAGGTCTTTCAGAGGACAGTGACCTATAAAATGCAACTTGAGTGCTGAAAGGATGATGCAGGGAAAAAACCCACCAGGCCAGGATTATTACTGTAAAGGGAGACACTCATTTGCTAACATCTAAGTGTTTTCATCTGAATACCCATAACCATTTCAGTGTAATGGTCTACATGTGTTTCTTTTGATTTTCTTTTAAGGGAAAAAGGAGAGACATAGGGTATTCAACGAATTACATCAAACTGATGATCACTTCAACATTTATCACCTTTGGGGATCAGAAGCTCCTGGATCTGGAAACCTCCACCAGTCTTGGAACATATGAAATGGACCATTATATGTTACAGTATATATTATAGCTACCACTTCAGCCACACAGTTAAGCTCATTATCTGGTGGCAGAGAAGGCTTCTTTTTGGGGTGGTGTGAAAAAAGACTGGTAGGAAAAGCCAGCCTGGCCCCCCCACTGCAGTAAGGAAGGAGAACTATTCCACAGCTGCCGCACGTGGTGGTTTGTGAAGGCTTCATTACGTGCCAAAGACGTGGTATGTCATCGCAACACAGCCCTGGCAGCACATCCACTTTGCTACATCTTTGCAGCTCTTGAGCATTGCTATTACAGCGTGCGCAGCCACTGAGGTGGTGTGGGTTTGGCTTGTAGGAATGTGCCATGCTCAGGCACTGCTCTGCTCAGCTACCAACCCTTACCCAGGAACACATGCAAAAGAGGGGAACAGCAATTTTTAGCAGTTAATGTAGCAGCCAGCCCTGAAAGGCATTTCAGGAGGCTATGGAAAGAGCCCGAGAACTTATCATATTCAAACTAATTTTACAAGGGGGAAATAAGCAACGTGACAATAATAGTTACTACTACCAGATGGTAAATGGGACAGCACCCAAATATGCAGCTGCCTGGACATATAAGGCAATTTACCAGTTCACACCAGTTGAAGAACTGGCTTTTACTCTACCTAAGAGATGCCTCCAAAGACAGTAAGTCTAAGAGTCGATATAGCACTACCACAATGCATCTAGAGTTTAAATGAGAGGTTTGTTTTTTTTTTTTGATTGTACAATACCTTTTTTACCTTGAGCCAATATCACCATGTCTTGAACCTTCTTGTACCTATTCAGAGATTGCCGAAGCTCTTCTATCTTTCGATCCTAAAATAAAGGAAAGTTGTGACTGTGCTGCTTCCTTCAGCAAATCAAAAATAAGAAATACAAATACTAGATATTCTTCAATTTAATTAGTTTTGAGACTAAAAGAAGTGGAAAGTGTGGATGGGACAGGACCCAGAACTCTGAGTGGCTTTGAAATATCAAAACTTGTATTTAGCCAAAACTATCATCTAGTTAATCACCAGAATTGTCCCAGCCTTGAAAGTGGATTTCAGCTCCCTTATTAAGTCAAAGGTAGAGTATAATAAATTTGCCATGTACAAAGAAAGCAGTAATCAAAGGCTTTAGGGCTTTGGTGTTCAAAAGAACACATCCTACAAAATACACATGCATATCAATGCACAAAATCATACATGAAAACAACTCATACTTTACAGAAACGCAGCCTGTGATATCTCATGGGACTTGTATGGAGCTCTACATTTTCAGAACACGGTGTAAATTGCAGTCGCACTGAATTGAATGACACAACAGTGTAAGGACTCTGTGTACATGCAACAGAGCTCATAAATGCTCAGTTATAGTCCCTTAAAGGCATTGCAGTGCTTCTGACAATAGTGAATCATTGATTCTTACAAATTTGATTTAATTGAATTGTGACAAGTTCATATATGAAGATTTTCTTAGAGATATGAAGATTTTCTTAACTCAATCTGATGAATGATTACTGAAATAATGACTTTGCTACCTTCTCTTCATTTGCTGCCATTAGAGATTCTACCGCCTTCTTCATTTTCTGTACTTCTATATCTAAAAACACAATACAGTTCTCTAAGTCAATTTAAATAAGACACTCTAAGGAAACAAGAAAAACAAAAAACCTAGAAGCAACTCAGTAGTATCTGAAAATGAATTTACAAATTAAAAGACAAAACATAGGCCACTTAAATTCTATTTTAGATGGAAATATATAGAAGAAAGCCCTTTTTCTTCAAAACCTTTCTCTGACATTTTTATCAAGGAAATGCTGAAATTCAGGAAATTTCCTTACCCACCCCCCCACAGCCTTAGGAAAATGGAAAAGTCAAGAGCGAAACTACTGCTTGACTTTCACTATCTCCACCTTTCAAATAATTGCAAAACAAAAAGTCCAAAATATGAAATACTACATTTGGAGTGCAATAAAACACATCCTCGTTACAACAGTCAACAAACACCCCAAATGGCATCTCAAAAACCCACTATACAAAGCAATAGGATTAATGGATATGATGAAGAAAAGCACTGTGCAGTGATGCTTAGTCTTAATTCAGTATGGATGTAGAAATGAGGACAGCACAATGGAATGATCCAAGTATTTGCTGTGATGAGCAGTCATGCTAGAATATATATTGTAGTTCAGACTTGGAAAAGGTCCCTAATACAGACGACAGTGTTCTGCGCTTCATCTATAATCCTTATTTAGAAAGAAGTACAAATACATGAAAACAGGTATGTTCTAACAAGGTTAGATTCTGGAGATGTTCTGGACTAGAAATTAAAAAAATATGGAAATAATCTCCATTTTTGCTAAAAATCTACCTTGCATAAATGACGTAAACTTTAAATTTTGTTAGAAACATAGGCAGGTGGTCAAATTCACAGGCAAGAAAGCATTTTACCTTGTTTTAACTTCCTAAAATTTCTCAAAAAAAACAGAGTGGGAAGAACATTTTCTTCCTTAATGAAATGCAAGAAGAAAACAAGCTGCCTGGCTGGCTTTCTAGATGAAAGACATTTAGACACATTGGGCTAAAACAGCAACTGATCCAGTTGCAATGATTTTCACTCGGTTATGCTAACTGAAAATCTCATTTACTGGATTGCGACTGCATTTCATTGAGAGGCAACTTTTTTGTGAGTCTCCATGAGGCCAAATCTTTTTTTGTCTATCAGCTTTTCTTCAGAAAGCTGTATTTCAAGTGTGATATATCCACCCTTATTCTCAAATTTTACTGTAAGCGTAACTAAGGGTTATAGATGATGCAACCTAACAATGTTTGTTAAAGCAGTTTTGCAAACACATGCAGAAAGCTATTCGGGAAAGCACTTTTGAAATGCAAATGCTTGTGGAAAGACACCAGAAACCTTACTTTTATCTTTGAGCTTCTTTTTACAATTTTCATCTGTGCAGGAAAATCCATTGGATTTGAAATTAGCATATAGGTTATGACATTAAAGAACTTTTAACACAATACTGATACTTAAAGAATTAACTATTCCTCATGTACTATCGCAGAAGTAAGCAGTTCATGGTTTCAACCTGCACTCCCCTGGTGCTAACATTCCTAATGACACAAAATAGTATCACTGCTCTCATACACAACTACCTGTCTCAAGGATATATTTTTCAACTGTATGTTTTCACCGGTAAAGGCCTCAGAAAGGCTTAGGCCAATAGATTACTCTTAAGCTAACACTTTACTGGCAAAAGCCAGCTAAGTGATAATGTATATGTATTTGTTCAGAAAGCACAATTCAGCTAATGGGACAGATAACCTGTGTTATCTGCAAACAGCATTACTTAATATTGGTCCGAGGCAGAAAAAACATGGTTCATCATGGCAGAAGATCTCCTGCTGAGCTATACTGAAAACTAAACTAAAGCTTAGAACCAGAGGGTAATGGGAGTTCAATGTATACAGCAGCCCCCAGGAAGAAAAGCCCCATATAAGTAGTTATAAATGCAGTAAAGTCAGTCCTTGTTCACATTTAAATGTTCTTAAAAAAAAAAGAAAAAAAGGAATCACGGTTCAATGTGGTCACTTTTAGTGATCTTACGCAGTGGTTCTAAAAACAGATCATTTTATTAAATAAAATTGACAACCTACACACAGCATTTTCCTCCTCAGGTCAGGGGAGGAGACTAATTAATCTCTTGTGGCTTTATTTTTCTATAAACTTACTTTAAAGGCACAATCTTAAAATCAGCAATAACTATCAGTGAGATATATTCAGAAGTGAAATTGCAGCAGGTCAAAAAAGTCTGTGGAAAATTTTTGTGAGGCTTTAAAGAAAAATTTCTACTTTAAAGTAAGTTCCCAAATCCAAGTTTTGCCCAAATAAATACTGGTTTTGTTTCTTCTTTGCAAGCAAATAAAAGAATTATCTGACATGTAAAATTTTTGGGCTAATTCAAGCTTAATTAGGATTTAGACTTAACCAGTGCACAAATCCAGAACCAGTCCTCAATTTCACCTACTTATGGCTAGGTCCATGCTGAAGATTTGCTGGTACACATCATACTTTGGTTTCCAGTATGCTTTTCCCCTTCCTTACCAGTAAGGGGTGTACAAGCAAAGCCCAGCATAGATACCCACACAGAAAGTTTCCTTCTTGATATAATCTTTTTAGGGAACTTGTTGAAATTAGTTTAAGGATTTCTTTGCCAATATAAATTGCATCTTTTGAGGGACCACACAAGCCATGTAAAGAGCTAACAAGGGATTACATAGGCTAGTTTAAAGTTGATCAAGAACTTGCTATGACAGTAAGTTCAGCAGTTGCATCGTGAACACTGACTAAACATATTAAAAGAAGTAAACATGAAGACAGAAAATATATGAAAATTGAGGCTTTTATCTGTTATTTCCTGTACAACCATTCATGGAAACATGACCTCAGATGAGGTTACTGAGGAGGACATGGTAAGAGAGCCTCCCTTCTTCTTACCTCTGTCCAGTATTTCAATTCCTTCTCCTTTCAGCTTGCAAACCAATTTTTCTTGCAACCTTTTTACCTCGGCTTCCTTCTGCTCTAGTTTGTCTTTCAAAGCTGCTAGCTCATCCTGTAACAGACATAGAACCACTCAGTGACAACTTCTACATGCATCCGAGACGTTTCCAAAATTCCCTCCTATGAAGCAGAGGGGACAGGTCCTCAGCCGGTGGAAACAACCGAGGGCCCCCTGACATTTACACTGGCTGAGGGTACACCCACCAAACTGACTCTGAACATCACAGCAGACTGCTGCGTCCATAAGGGGGCAAAACCAGGGGGCCTATGGTCTGAAAGTGTCGGTCTCATGTATAATTGAAAAGAGGCTTTACATCTGAATTTAAAAAAGAAAGAATAAAGCAAAAAGAGCAGTTTTCTTATTTATTTAACCTTGCAGAGACAGAGGCAGAAAAAGTGCACGTGATGAGGCTGAAGGCTAAAATTTATGAATGCTTATTTTGTTATTTATAGGGCATTTTGCATGTTCAAAGCTGGACAGTTATGGAACTGTGCTTACACCAGGCTGAGGACAGTTTCAGAAATAACCACTGCTTCTATGAAAGAAAAATCAATCACGACACCATCAAGCACATAAACACATACTGGAAAGCAGTTCAGACGAAAATGTGGTACCTCTGCCACAGTCTGGGTTTGCTGATCAAGCATTAGGAAAGGAAGCTTAGAGTCGAGATTCATGGGAACAAGACAGATGGTGTTTGGGGGAGTTGGGGTGTATTAGATAAATGCTGTCAAATTTTAACTTAGATCTAACCATCTGCACTAGCAAGTGACTGGCACGGATCCATGCATTTAACTTTTTAAAATTTGAGTTAAATCCTACCCAGTTTAGTAACATGTTTCTTTGATGTCCGAGGATATCTTGTGCAACAGCATCATCAAGACAGGACCCTCAGTGCAAATGTACCCAACACTGAAAATTTAATTTGTTCAGTTTGTAAACAAAACAAAACAAGGCAAGACTCATAATTTTGGCATTTACAGCTTCTAACTGAAGTTTTAAATCCTTAAAGGAATAAACCAAACTAGAATACTGTGAGCTTCCCTCAAAAGATCTGTTGCAAACTGGTTCCTGTTTGCTCTAAGGCACCATTAAAAAATAGATCTATCTTAAAATTGCCAAGAAATCAAAGCTTCTTCCAGAACAGTGGTTGGGCAATACAATCCTCCAGTGCTCCAACTTGGTACTGATTTTGATGGGGTTTCTGCCAGTGTAGGACCCGTGCTTCTCCAAAACAAGACCATCTCTTGGTCACTTGAGAAGCTGCTGTTATACCCATGGGCAACTAGAGCAGCATGTGGTTGTTGATATGTATTTCTTCCCCCGAATTAGAAACACGATATGTAAATTTACACGTGGGAGAGGGGACAGTATAAAAGAATCAGTATTTTCTAGCTAGTTTTCATGAATAAATTTTCTCTAAAAAGGTGAGGAAAAGTTCTGTTTGAATAATGGATGTAAGCTACAGAAGAGGCAATCTTCCCTTGGAAGGGGAACGATTTTAACCCAAGTCTAACTCCATTATGTGTAACCTATGCAAAGTTCACAACACTAAAATCCTCTCCCATACAACATAAAAGCTGTTTACAGGGAATATCTACATAAAGAGCTTTCCACATCTAATGGAAAAGGGCGCACTGCATATCAACACACAGCAATTAATGAAGAACAGAGCATGACAGCACGATGCGAGACAGACCGTAAAACGGTGGAACATGAAGGATTCAAAACAGGCCCAATGTTACCCAGAAACTACTACACCTTTAGCATCTGGCTTTTTTGCTCCATCCGCTGCTTTTCATACTGCATCTGACCCACTTTGATTTTCATACTAGAAAGTTTGGCCATTAAAGACTGGTAACAGAGACAGAGGAGTGAGAGAAAACTAAAGATAGAAAAGAGACAAGGCTAAATGGCAAAGAGAAGTTAGACACTTACAGAAACAGGCTGCTAGAATTACTTAGGTGAATGTTTTCTCTTCAGAAGTGGTTGATTTTTAGCACATTTAGGAGCAAAATAAATGCTCAGCTTTGGTCTCACACCTTATGTACTGCAACTGGTGTTTCTTGACACATATGTGAAACAAGGGTCTAAACAGGTAATAAATTTACTGTTAACAGCCAGCTGCATAGTAAGTTATCCTTCATAAAAAGGATAAAAAACATATGCCCAGATAAAAAACATATAAACATAAAAACCAATGCCCAGATCTGAAAACCACAGCATGAAATCTGGAAATAACCCCTGTTGCTAAGTGAGTACCGTGAAACCCCTGGGCCTGAGTGTGCTCAGTATTTTGCACAATGCAGGCAAGGACTGGGGAAAAGAGAGCAAAATTCTAAAGCCTGACTTACACCCATGTCTGCTTCTTCCCCTCAGCCTCACTTACTTTGGTCGTTTTCAGTTTTTTCTCATACTGGAGCCTTTCATTGTCCATTTCTCCCACTCTCAACCGCAATTCATTTATTTCCTGGATCAAATCCTGAGTGAGGGGAAAAACAAGACCAGAAACAACAAACAAATTCAGTAAACAGAACAGAACAATAGCTACCCATCGGTAGGACTGTAAAAGCACAGCAGCAATAAAAGGCACTCCGTACACAAAACCACACCACCCAAATTCATAGCTAAGCCAAGCAATTCAGAGCTTCCTAGATATCCAGGGACTGTATTTCTCAGTTTCTGCATTACTGCACTGAATGCAAGAACGCAGGGGACAAAGGGAGACATAAACTGAAGTTGCATTCCCTGTGCTGAGGGCCAAGAAAGGCCTCCTGCCCCTTTGGCTGCTCAACTGCTTGGACGTCCACCGCTACAAGTGGGTAATGGAAAACCGTGGCAGCCATCCTTCAACACGCAGCAGCCACATCCTCCCATCCCCAGTCCCTCCCACCCCAGGCTTGCCAGCCGCCACCTGCCTTTTCAAAATATGAAGCGATTACAGTGTAAATCCATGTTTCCTCCACTCAAATGAGCACCTCTAACTGAGGGCTGAATGGAAGAGCCACCACTGGTTTCTACAAGCACAAAGGCTTATATGTTTAAGCATCAATGACGCCACTACATCAGAGCTTTGCAAATTCAGCCTGGTTTGGAAGAATCTTGGAGCCACCACCAACTCACATCTGAGCTCTTCAGGAAAATAGCTCGACCTCCTGGCCATCCTCCTGGAGAGACCTACCAGGTTTGGAGGTCAGCCCCGAGTGCCACCAGCTCTACAGCTCCCTTCCTGCAGTGGTCAAACAAACCCTGAGTTTGCACTAATGAGAATTGATTCGTCTGCGGCTTTTCTCTCCTGCAGCCATCATTTTTGCTTTGGGACAATCCAATGTCAAAATATGCTGTGTAGCAGTAAGTGCTGAGGTTGTTGCCTATGTATTTATCACTCGAACTGTGTGACTTTTAAAATACTGGAGGAGGAGAGGGAAACCAGTTATCCGTACTCAAAAGGCCCCTCTGAGCAAAAGGAGTAACAAACCAAAACTCTGCTCCTTTTATGAAAAAAGTTAGCGCAACCTGTATTGATTAACAGAGATGTCAAGATGCACTCACAATGTCATGAAAAACAGAGCAATCTTGCAAACAGAATCCAAGATCTCAGAGCAGAATTCTTCTGCTTAATCTGTTATTGGCCTCATGGGTAATCGGACCCTTTACCACTGGTAACTGGTCACCAAAAATACTGCACAATTTGCTCAAGGGTTAAACAGAACTAAATACTAGTCCTAACAGCATGCTTTGCCCTAAAAATATTTTCAAATACACTCTTGCAAGTGCAACATTAATTCATGTCTTAAGTTATCTACAATGCAGTAACTGTAAATGACACTCATTCTCATCTTTTTGAGGCCGAGGAGTACATTAAAGATTCACCAGGTTCCATATACAGACCCTCATTAGTACAAAAGAGATGGTCAAGCCTTGCATAATTGAGCAGAGGAAAAAGAAAAGGCCCAAACAGGGCTGTCTCCCCTGCTACTGAATTAGTATTTAACTTTGGGCAAGCTACCGGAGGCAGAGATTGTCAAAGGCACTGAGGTTCCCTAAGAAACCGTAACCCTCCCAGTGCATTTCACTTTCCTGCTTGCTGCCTTGAAACACTTACCCTTTTCTTCCACTATTTTCTATTCAACTGAGTTTGACTACAAACCCTTCACAGCAAGGACTGTGCCTTGCCCCCTCCTGCAGCAGCCCCAGCAGGGAGATCACAGCATTGTTTGAAACCTGAAGGTGCCAACCATTTTAACTGCTTATGACCTGAAGAGCTTTTGGGACCAGTGTGATGCTTGGGGTGTGTATGTCCCCATGGCACTCAGGGTGTTGTACAGGTTCATCAGGATCTGTGATCACAGCAAAAACCCACTGAGTTCCCAGGCTGACTTGGATGAACCAGCAGTAAAACAGTCACCCCACATGGTAGCCGGTGTATGGCACCTGCTCTGCTTGCATTTAATACTTCCTCTTCGGGCACCCATAAATGGGTTAAAATACCTGCCCTGGGCATAATGCATGCTCCTGTCTTAAAAACCTGCAAGACAGGAAAGAGCCATTAAATGGTCCTCTTCTGATCCAGGGTCAGGTCCCTCCATGCAAACACCCAACACCTGTTCCTTGCACAGATCCATGAATGGAGCTGACGGGGTGGGACATACAGACTCCTGTTTCCCAAAGCCTTTTCCTTCCCTGCTCATGTTACTTGTGCTCTTCACGGCAGGGCCAGGGAGGCACAAAAAAAAGCAATGATAACTTTAAGCTTCAGAGGTCAGAGGCTTCCTTACTGGCACTGGAAACACAAACTACATTTGTAGTTTTGCTCCACTCAGAAATTCATCTGCACAAAGGAGACTCGTGGTGTTTAAATTATGAAGAACTCCCCATGAGTGAGCCAGTTGAACCTCTGGCTGCTGCTTCAAAGACCATGTCTGGTTATGGACTCCTCCCTAAATAAACTCCCTCGTACGATATTTTCTTACATAAACTCAGCCCAACTCAGACCACCCGTGCTCCTTAAGGAAAATAATACTGGTGTCTGCTGAGAAAGTGGAAAGACTGGAATGATTTAAAGAACAGAACAATTCTAAATCTCTATTAAGTATACAATTAGCTTTGAAAAAGGTGTGTATTTGTGAACATCTAGACAAGAAAGTCCTAGAGCACAAAGGAAACAAAGCTTACACATCTAGTGAAGCATGTGTTTAGAGAAAGAATGGTGAATGTGAGACACCTACTAAGCTGGAATGGGAAGTTGCAATGACAGACAGAAGTCAGAACTGGATAATAGGACAGATTTAATCTGAATGGTAATTCTGTAGGAGACAGTAGCTCCACAAAAGTTGTTTTAAGATGTCAATGTTTTTTTTATTTTCATTTTCTTTTCCCTAAATAAAACCAGAAGCAATATTCATAGTTTTTCTTTCCCAGTTTGGGCATGAAATTTTTTCCATTTTGAACACTGCATGTAAATGCCACAATGTGTTTTATGGTAGAGTATTTTAAATATTCATTTAAATACTCAGCTCTGCTGAAATAATTGATCATCTATTACTTTAAACAGGAATATAATTAGATCAACACTGAATGAAATATTGCTTACTTCTGAATAAGTCTTGCCTCCAAAATACCTGTCAGAGATTTTGCATGGCTGAGACCCTTACAACTAATTAGCCATTCATTTTTCCACTGAACAAAATGGAAATTAAGACATATTATACCTTTCAGTGTCTAAGCCTAATAAGCCTTTTTACAACTGTAAAGTGTTGAAACAAAGAAGAAACAACTTAATAATTTCTGTCACACTAAACTACATCATTCTGGTTTTCAAAGGGAGGGAGGAACATTTTAGTAACAGTTCATTGGTTCTAGCATAAATATCCAGGAAATAAATATATATAGATCCTAGTTATAGTAATTACCTTTTAAACATAATTTAGGTTATCTTATTTTTATTGAAGATTATAAGCATATTTCAAGGTATTTCAAAGAGAAAGGTCTTCATAGCTGCCATGCAGGTAGGCCTCTTGCACTGAGCCTACAGAGTTGCAGCGCATGTTGTGGTCCTCACACTAAGCACTTTTCTGGGAACAGAGGTAGCTCCACATCCACCTTCTTGGTCTGCTGTCTGAATAGTGCTATGAAGTTATGGAGAGGCTGAAGTTCAGGAGGGAAATGAAAGAAGGGGGAGTACAGGAAAGCTCAGCAAAGAATCATATTCAATAAAAATAAGAAGAGAAAGAAAGGAAGCAAATGTCCCAAAGCCCAACCACTTTTGTCACCTGTCTTGGAAAGCACAAGAAACCACAGGGTGTTTACAAATGGAGATGCAGTGGAATCCAGTTCTGAAAGCACCCGCCCGCTGCAGTCATTTGGACCAAACCTTGCCTCCCCAAGGCCATTTGCTACTCATGTCAACTCATTTATCTATTGTTCGGGCTACTTACGACAGGTGTCAGTATACAGGTGAAAAGAGGTATCTGTTGTATGCTGTAATTCATGAAAAAGCCGAGCACTATGTGGGCAGAGAGACTTCATGGGAGCTGAGAAAGCAGCCAGCTCTTAACACACCTCATATGGATGCAGAAAACCTTCAACGATTCCCTCCACCTTTCCACCTGCCAATTTCTCCAGCATTGCCATGCACAGTACTTGACTGCAAAATCAGCTGCTTTTAAGGCAATGCTGTGATCCTTCATGTAACATCTGGTATCAAACTAGAGGAAAAGGTAAGGGGAGGCAACATCAATCTGATCCACAGCTTGGCAGCACCCAGATGGGCTACACTGCAGGAATGGACACCGCCATCACTACATAAATGACCACCACCTTTCAAAGTTGAACATTATTTGAGTCACTAGTTTTCAACCTGTAGACTTCTCTGGGTCTGCATATTACTTCAGACAGGCCCAAAGAAAGTAATTTAAAAGCAAGCCTAGCTTTTGCTCTTATGCTTGCAATACAGGTGAGGAGCAACACTTCAGTGGAAAATATGTAGGCAACTGGAAGGGAGTTGATAAACCACCGATTGAAGTGGAAAGGGTAAATTTTGTCTCCTGTGATGACGTTATGGCTTCTTCCCTTCTAGAAATGAATGATAACTGGAACATCCACAATACAAACATCTGACATTTCATTGATGAACCCAGAATTGGAAATTTTGCTCTGCTTCCTAGATACAAGGTATTGCTGATATGGGGTACGTCACCCAGGCAGTGAAGGGGCAGCGAAGCCTGATTCTTGGAGTTTCCTGGAAAAACTGGGTTGCCCACCCGCTTTGAGGCTTTCTGGCTTCAAACATGAGCAAGGTTCAGCTACACAGATCTGTAGCGCACAGAGGACAAATGGCCCAGGAGAGCGTCACCAGGGATGGCAGCTCCAGGCTGCAGCTCTGCCTGGCACTGTACACTGCTGGGCTGAAGCCAGGCTGAGATGCGCAACCACTGGCCTCTTGGTCCTGGGCTTCTGTGGGGCTGGGGTTTGAAGTGAGGCTTCAAAATGCCCTCACACCGAGTCACCTTATTCTCTCTGTTACTGTACCAAAAGTTATGTCTTTTAGTGTGCTGTGTCTTTGCACATGCATGCTTTTTGTACTTGCAATGGGCTTAAGCATTTGCCTCAGACGTGTCTTACTAAGATGATGACAGTTTCAAGTTGGGACAGGAGAGTGCAGTATGTTCGTGATTTTATTTAAATCCATCCTAAATGCCATCCCTCCTGAAATCTGGTGGCCAGAATCAAAAACTGGGTTTGGAAATCTTTCTGTGTAAAACCAAAGTTTACCAATAAAGGACACTTTTTATTTTAAGAGATACATGTTTTAACCTTAAGGATTAATTCCCTTCTTGTCTCACAAAAAAAAAAATTTCCCAGGAAGTTTTCAGGTAACGTGAAGCCACACACAGCTTTCACAATTTATTCAGCTGGGTTTTACTCACCTCTGTGTCTCTGAATCTGTCCTCATAGTCCAATCTATCCTTCTCTACAGATGTAAGCTTTAACTTCAGAGTGGAAATCTCTGCCATGAGATCCAGCTTCTGAGTTTCAAGGGATGTTCTGCTTAAAAGCTCCTGATTCAAGATAAAGAGGTAGAGACCAGAATTATTCATCCGAGGGGAAGAAATCAGTAATTTATTTCTACAGCTAGGGGCCTCTTTCACAGGGAAAAGCATCACACTCTTCCTTGCACTCTCTGAAGCCCTGGCACACAGCTATTACCCATCTGACAGACTCCAGGCACCTAGGATGTATCTGAGATCACGGGACCACTATCATGGGTAGGCTGCCAGGATGAGAAGAAAGCTTGTCTGTCATCACAGTTGCTCTGGGCAGCAAGGAGCTTTGAGGGGAACCCACCCATCCTGCCAGAGGCTTTAATCCAAGTCTCTTTGAAGTTCAGCAGGGAAAGGCTCAAAGAAGAGCAGGACTGGATTCCTACAGTGTAAAGCAGCACTGACATCACCAAGTACAAAGACTTTAAAGCAAATATGGTAGAAAATTATCACTTAGTTAAGAGACATCAAGGGGTGTAACACCTTGAAGCGCACTGCTCTCACCGAAGCAAAATGCAGTTCATTAAGACAGAATGAAAACAGACAGCAAGACAGACATGTGCCTGTGAAATACCTGCTGCAGCATCTCTTCTGTGGCATTCAGCTTCTCCCTGTGCTCCTCTAGACAGAACTCTAGATCCCGAATCTTTTCTCCTTGGGCTTCCACCTGGTCTGTAAGCACACTTACCTGCACAGCAGAGAAAAATGGATGCATATTTAGTACCTTGCACCCATGCCATATGTGTCACCTGAACTGTGTTTGAGTAACAGTGCTGGCTGGGCCACAGATGAAATGGGACCACAGGGGGAGAAGGAGCAGCAGCAGAGCTCTGCAGTGGACATAATGCATGGCAAAGGCAACAAGAGAGGAGGGAAAGCTCTCCCCTCATGCTTACTGGAATTTCAGCCAAAGTTCTGGCGGACGCAATACAATCCTGCATCTCCCCTCCTGACTTGTCCTGGAAGTTTTCACAAGGGGTGGCTGCTGCATTTTACAGCCAACAATTATGCCTTTGCTGTGACAATACATTAACTAAAACCCACTAGCTCCTACCTTAACAACCAAATAGCTAAACCTCAAACATTTGCATACAATTTATTCTGCTTTCCCAGTGACTGCACACAGTGTACCATAGTGTACAGCTTCTCCTTTTCAGAACAATAAAAGCAAAGGAAATTAAAACATAGGCTGAGGCTAAGCAAGACCAAGACAACACCTTTGAGACTGCAGACTGATTCCCATTTTGTCTTTTCTGAATTAGGTTTTTTTTTTTTTTTAAACAGGCTCTTTCAAGGAAATCTGCAGTTACGCTGGGAATGAGGGCAAGCTGCCTAGAGCAGAGCTCAGTGTTGTCACAGGCCTTAGGCCAGGGCTGTGTCAGGGGACCGCAGGATGCCTGCGTAGACCAGGGGGTGCCAGGTAGTCCCAATGCTGATGGCAAGAGTAAGGCAGCTGGCAAGAGCCCTCGGGACTGACCCAGTCCAGCCCAGCACCTGGTAAGCGGGACCTCCAAGGAGCTGTTCTCGTCTCCTTCCACCCGTTAGCCAGTCCCGCAGCTTTTGTCACCTTTCACGAGGACAGGACATCTGTCACCTGATGTGGACAGCATGTGGACAGTCATGGAAAATGGTGATCTTAAGGATACACATGAATGTAAGAAGGTGGTTGCTCTGCAGACCTGCTCACCTAACAAGATTCAAAAAGAGATCAGATACACAGAAAGCAAGCCCCTTAGATTTTTCCTTCAATCTAAATTCACACCTATCCTTAATCTGTGTTAACTCTCAGGAATCAGCAAGGCTTCTGAACACTGTCCAAGATGACACAACTGCAAATAAATCTCAGAGATTTTATCACATACAATCAACAAGTCTTATGAATGCAAGAGCAGAAAAAAATAATTTAGGTGACTACTCACTTGCAGAACAAGAGATTCCTTATCATTTTCCAGACGAGCCAGCCTTTCTTGATACAGATCTCCATTCCCAGATATATGTCCATTAGTCTGAAAAAGACAGCAAATATTGTGTTGTCAGCTATCGTACCATAAGCATCATTCAACATTATCAACACACTTAAGGAGTATTTTTAGTCTGCACAGTTCAAGAACAGATTTAAAGTATTCTTCAGCCCCCAAAGGGTTACAAATCAAATCAACTGTCAACAAAGGATACATGACCACCATTCAGGACAAGAATTGTTCAGAGGCTTAAAGATGAGAAAGAAAGAACCTTTTGGTGACCCAATTCTGCAAAATTCACTTACTGTGCATTCAGCATTTTGTTAACAAAATTTGTGCTCAATGATGTACTATGCTAAGCCATACTTGCAGAGAGACAAATACCCCAAGACATTCAGTAAGTGAAAAAAATCAATGTACAATATACAAAATGTGCATTATGCTTCTTGCAAGTCAAACAATTTTTTCTAAAACACTCAGTAAGAGACATCCTTTTATACCAGGCACATTTTACTGGGTATGGGTGAACCGTCTGCACTCTAAACGCATCCCTTTATAAAGCTGCCTGAGGCTAAAGAGAAACAAGAATACATCTTAATGCTATCAGAGAGTTCAGAGGAATCAGCAACTTACTTTCTTCATAACAACTTCAATGCTCTTGAGCAGTGAGAAGGATTTTACTCTATCCATATTCAAAGCTGTCTCAAAGCACTTTGTGATGGACACCACAATCAGATCTCAGCTCAGAAAAGAATTTCTTGTTCCCATCATTGCATAAATCACTTAGAGGAGTCTGAGAAGCTGCTCAGTACAGAGGCTTCCACCAACTCCAAGGGACCTCGACTTCCCTCTAAATCTGTGATGAAAAGGAAGCGGGTGACTGACCCTCATGCCCCGGTGAGTCTACAGGACAACCCTGCCATGAGAGGCCACCCCCATGTAGGAGCTGCAAGCCTCAGGCTCCTGCTTTGCATCTCCCTTTCAAACAGCCTGTCTCCCCTGATTGCAGAGGATGCCTCAGGAAACCTGCCAGCTAAAACTCCTTTTCTACGTTACATGCCTGACTTCGGGTGACGGGAGAAACTGCCTTGTTTGAAACCAGAGGAATAAAATGTCCACCAGCACCACTTAAAAGATTAGATGCAAAGCAAACAGCAGGGCTTACAAAGTATTTGACCTCACCTTAGCGCTCTCCTCAAGAAATCAGGCTGCGTCCTGGCAGCTTGTAGATCAGCGTGCAGTTACAAATGTGTCTCCCAAGCATACATGTATAACCTTTACAAGGTGACCATAACATCTCCCCTGAAATCACTAGAGCTACAGCAGACTAAGAAAGGATGGTCCCGAGTAATTTGTACCAATACCTCACACCATAATGATTCCCTGAATCTGAATTAGTTAGCAGTAAATTACTAGGCCTTCTGACCATCAAGAAACTAAGCACCGAGGCATAAGTACTCTAAACTTCTGAGTTTGCTCTGCTTTCCCCCAACCTCTACCAGAATTTAGTTCATGCCATAGGATTTCCATTCAAGATCAGTGAGATCTTCAGTTTTGTAACAGTTTTAATTTAGGTGAAAGAAGTCGAAGAGCTTCCAAAATAAACTTGTTAGCTGCTCAACTAGCAGATTATGCTTTAAATTTTGTAACTTGACTTGTATGTGAAATACAGAAACGAGGTTTGCATACTTTTGCTATTCTGTAGCTCCCTTCTCATTTAAAGACCTCCAACACATCTCAGGCACTTACTCAGCCTCCACGAATACAGCGTCTGTATTTTGCAGTATACAACACATTTATCAGTCCAGTGTGTGTCTCTGATGTAGGAAAGTGATATTCATCCCCCATTACAAGCAGGCAGCCAAGGTGCAAAGACGCCCCTCCATCCTGCTGGGGCTCACATGAAAGTCCTTGTCAAAGCACAGACTTGACTCCCTGCCTCCCAACCACCACATCAGCGCCCTAACCACTGAACCTCCTGATACCTCTTAGTCAGCGTAACCAGACACAAATTAAAACCAAAGACTGTGTGAAGAAAATATGTCGAGGTAAGTACTGGTTTCACACTACGATGAAAATGTCTTTACAATGCTGTGAAAACCGATGAGGTGTTAAAGCAGAATGTTACTCATTGTGCACAGCATCTTGACCAGACACCTTGTTGTTAAACTCTGTTCCCATTCCTCAAAAAAATATCCCGTTTTGCTCAGCACGTCATACTTGGTTTTAAAATAGGAGCATCTAGAGAGTGAGTGTTCAGGCCGCAGCTGCCATTGCTATGGGAAAGAGGGAGGAGGTGATGGGAACCCCAAACAGGATTGGAGTAAAGGTTGTTCTCCCACAAAACCAAATACAAAGATGTCTTTGGTAGCAGTCGCCAGAAATATTTTCTAAAATCTGCATAAAAACCGACCTCCTGTGGTACACCAAAACCAGAAATCTTTGTGCACAACTCAACAGCAGTTTGGTTTTTGCCTGAAATGTTGTTAACTTCTGCGTAATACCTGGGACTAACTCTTCATTTTAGGTATGAAAAGGCAAGAGAGTCACCGACTTTGGCTACAGTGGGGAAAAAGATGAGAGTTGGAGAACGGACGACAGAGAGAGGTCACAGCAGCTATTTCAGAGCAGCAGCCCCAGCACCTCCTATGGTGGTGCGGAGATCAGGGACCCACAGGCAACGGCCACATGATGCCTTCCCATGTCTCTCCTCTGCGCTGTCTTCAAAGGTAAAAAGTTGATACCTGGCATGATTTTCTTCCCAGAGAGATGAAGAAAGACAAGAGGAGATGAAACACATGAAAAGAAGAACAGGATAACGACAGCAGTGGGCAAGACTGAAGAGAAATGGAGAGGGAAGATGCCCAAACAGTGGATATGGGAAAGCAGTGCATCAGGAGATGGGGTGGAGAGAGCCCCCATGGGGATCAACAGGCTGCAGGGAGGTCTGAAAGATGCCGGGAGACCCGGTGTGTGCAAAACCTGGATGAGTAACACTCGGTGTGTTCTTCAGGAGAAGTTTCTCTCCACCTGGGGACCTGCAGCCTCCCCTGGGACTGAGCCCAACAACCACTCACTCTGCAGAGCAATGGCTCTATTTTAACCAAAAAAGAAAAAGGTAAATATTTGATTCAACAACAACTGCAGGAGTATTTGGGGCACTTGGTAGCTTTGGATCAAATTTGTATCATTGAAGTCAATACAGGATTAACATAGTTTACTCGCTGTGTAAGACAAGCTTTGCCATTTTCCAAAGACGGCTCCTCTTCATCAGCAATTTAAAATCTATGTTCAATTAAGTGGTTAGACTTAGCATGTGTTTTCAATTTAGGGATTAACTGCAAAACACTGTATAGGAAGAGAATGCAGATTTACCAATATTGATCTTAATCCTAAAAACAAAAGAACAGTTGTCACGATGCCACTGAGGCTTTGCAGAAGTTTGAGGTTAAGCATTTACTTAAAATGCCTTATAAGATCAGACCCAGTGCACTTAAAAACTCTGCAAGATCAGTCTGTGGCTAATCTGTTAAACAAACACGTGTGTAAGCTTTGTCTGCAGTCACGTAAGCGTAAAAATCCACACTGCTCTGGAGGGAATTATTCCTGTAATAACTAGATGCATCACCAAACTTTCACAGCTTGCTGGCCCTCAGTCTTTAATCCATCTTCCCTGGAAGTGAGTTAGCATTCCAAACCACAGGAAAGTTTCTAATAGCTGCTGTTTTAAGTCTCATAATATTAAAAAAAAAAAAAGAACCCAAAAAGAAACAAAAAAACAGTTTCCTCTCAATTGCTGAATTGTCCTTTCAGAACTAAAACTCGTTTTTAGCGTACTGCAGCCAATACTCTCATTTTTCTCTTCTGCTTTTGAGACAAAATAAGCAGAACAAATCACACTGTTCTTGCTGAAGTTGCGATTTGATTTGTATAGAAGGAGCTGCCACTCTACGGCATTATTTTCTCGTACAGCAGATTGCACTGACTGTTTTGACCACCACAGCCCAGTCAACAGTTGGGCAAGCGAGCTGTCCCTGACATCTCTTTCCTGACCATCTGGAGTTAAATTAGAGCTCATCAGCATGCTTACATTGTTCAGATCATTATCATACACATTACCTATGCTTAGCTAAGCATGGCTACTGCTGTTCTGTCTGTTCACTCAGTTTTAGGGAGTCCTTTACAGGGGGGGTCCTCCAGCCTCAGCTACCTCAACATCATTTGGTGTGCCACAGGCAGACCCTCCAGGTTTTCCAAGCAAAGTGTTTGCTACTGTTTTCCCTGTCATACAGAGCCGTGACAGCTTTACCCTCCCTTAAGTATTGATTCCATCCCAAAGTCATACTGGTCAAATCTGTCTGAACACAATCTGTACCTGTGCTTCACCAGTTTGCATGGGAGCCCACCGCTGCCCTCCCAAACTGGCATCTCCTGCATTTCACACCTCCCTGCTCATCGCTCTGAATATCTGCAGCCTGCTCCACATGCTCTGGCAGCAGGCAGGCAGACCCACTGCTAAGCTTTTCCTAAAGTTTACAGATTAGTTCCTCCCTAGAGAATGAGCAGGAGGAAAAAAAAAAAACCACCAACCCACTCAAACCCCCCGCATTATGTTTTAACAGCTTCACTACAGTAAAAGTGAATCCTGAAAGAAAACCAGCTTAAGACAGACCTTCACTCTGATGAATTTACCTGAAACATTTTCTAAATATAAATAACACGGCTGATGAATAGGGAAGATGCAACCATTTCAAAATACTCAGTTTCTTCAACAGCAGCTCAGCTGGTATCTGATACAAGAGAAAGATGAAATGCTTATTTCCTAACAGCATTGCCCAGCTATGGCTTGTCACTCGGAGAAATGCAAGAGCCAGAACAAACACAGATAGCCTTACCTTATTTAGCCAGACGCAGTGTCCGTGAATGTCCCAGCTATACTCCATGCTGGTCATGACTATCTTCATGCATTCAAGGACACGAGTGACTGTGGCAGGCAGCCGAGGCTGAGAGCTGCAGCCCCAGCACCACAGGCGCCCGCCGTGCTG